ATTTCTCAAATCATCTACTAACATTACTCTAATTTATTTTTGGCAAACTATTAAAAATTATTTCAAGTTACAAGATTTTTAAAAAAACTAATGTTACTATGGTAAAATCTTGCACTCGGGGAAACCGTCTGCCAATAAATTGTAGTATTGTAGAGTCCTGCTATGTATTGAAATGGATGGCATACTGTAAAAAGTGCTTTTGAGAAACTATTTTGTTAAGCAAACTAATGTTAATCTTTAAATATGCATTAATGCGTTATGCAGGTTATTTGAACATTTTTCCGTAGCTCGTGGCGGTAAATATGTACCTTATCATTACAGGGCTACAAAAAATTGGTTTTCTTTTCTGTCGCTATCTGAAACAGTCTATAACACTAATCCATATAGAATGTATTAAAAAAAAGCAACACACTTTAAGTAAGATTAGAACATAGCATTCATTTCTATTCATGTCCACAAAAGAGTATTAGTATCATATGAGATTTTTTACAAAAAAATTAATTGCTCTAAAGTGTATTAACTGACTGAAAAAGTTCTTGCCGCTAGGTACAGAACCCATATTAAGTTCACTCGTAAATAACCAAATATCGTATTCGTAAGAAAGTTTCCAAAGTAGCGTAAAATTAAACATCTCCATCACTGTTATGTTCGTATAAAACCTCTAGATTTGAACTGACATTCTGGAAGCACGTTTTCCGTTTCTGATGTTATGCAGAATAATTTTAGGTAAGATATGTAAATAACCTACAGGTGTAAGCATCATTCAAATTATTGTGCATGCAAGGTTGTGAAAGTCCCTTTTGGAGAGATAAATTAGTAATAAGAGACGATGCAGATTGGTGCGTTGATATAGTCATATCTTTCCGCTCACTTCGTTTATCCTAAATTATTAAAATAAGTATTGTAATGTTCGTGGGTTTAACAAATTAACTTTTAAGACTCACAACGACAAAAAGTATTTATTTACACTAATTATTATTGAACTTAAAAACACTATTAAATTATTACTAAACTTAGGTAATTATTCTATTTATTTACACTACTGTTACTATTCACTGTTCTATTTATTTAACTTCTATCACTGTCAATTTATTTCTTGATTCACTTCTGCAACGGTCAATTTATTTCTACTCTCTTGGCGATCGTCTCTTCCATTATATACTCTCTTGTGTCCTTTCTGGAACTTTCTCGAGCCGTCCGGAAAAGCTTCGTTTTCTTTAAACTGTTTAATTGCTTTCCCGGAACGCAGGTTCGACACACACGTTTACAGATACGGCGCACATGAAGAAAGGCGCCCGGGGCTAGTCGGCGAATCGATAAGCCGCTCACACACACGTATGCCCGATCGCACACAAACACGCTCGTGCTTGCTACAGTATAAATTTACCTGTTGAATATCTTAAAATATATTTATAGCACGCTTCGTCCTTCCAACGTCTAACCGTAATGGTATAGAATTTAAACTTGTTGTAAATCGTTAACAAATGGTAAAATATGCTTCTTAGTGTTAAATAGAATTATATGGTTAAATGCTCCCCTACCAGGCGGGCGACTTCAGATCGATTCTCGATCGTCAAAATACAAATTTTAATTTATGTTAGATAAAATGAGTTGATCGAATTTCCTAGTATTTATAAAAATTTTAATATTCACATGCACTATCTACGTACCTATAGTTAAATGTTTGTCAAGCAACTGTCTGCTTAAAAAAATCTATGCTTTCATGAATTTATTCTCTGTCCGTGCTTAAACTTCATGAAACTAAAGACACATTTATGTACAAAATCCTAAACTTAATAGTCTTGATCTTTCATGTAGAGTTTAGACACTGGTTTTGTTTATTTTCTCTTTTCCGTTTTAATAATTTTCCTATGTTCTATTAGGTGTCGGCGATCTCATTGATACCAGTTAAGAAAGTTAGCATTGTTAGTTCCAGTTGAATTCTCTTGTTTATTATCTATTGTACAATTAAATTATTCTTTGTGCTTTTACCATCTCTCAATTCGTCAATTATAACAAGCAAGTACATTTAAACTATCTAGTGGTCTAGTATCATTCATGGCCAATTTACTGTCTGGATTTGTAATAGTGTGATCATATAATTTTTACGAAGCTTATATTATGGCACGTTGTGTACTTCCTAGGTCGTTGGATGTATGTATGAATGTATCACTAGACATTTTAAAGTATATTCATAAATTCTTTCATTAGATTTGTTTCTAAAGATACATCAGACATACGTACTATTCGTATTCCTACAATTTTTTTATCTTAAGTCTTGGTATTTTAATAAATGTTTCACACTGTTTTTGCTAATGTTATTTCTAATTAGATAGTCTTTTAGCACATTTCATAACGATAATTCCTTTTTTTATTTGTACGATAATCTCTGTACTAATGACTTTGTCCGTATCTTCAAATGTGTATGTATTTCTATAAGTGCTTTTGGGTATTATAGTAATATCTACTATATTGGTTTGTTTGGTTGTTTTACCTTTAATTCCAATTGCAATAAAACCTTTTTGTCTTTTATTATTTGAGCTATGTCAACTAGCAGTCTGTTTTATCTTTCAAATCTTCATTTAGTTGCCTTTGCATGTATTCCACTTGTTTTTGTTTCACCTTCAAATGTTATCACAGATTTAATTGCATTTTTTTTTACATAATAATGAAAGATTCAGCTATTTGCTAAGCCCTTTTGTGTTCTTCTAGCTTTAAGATTTTTTTAATACCCATAATAAGTGCCGGTATTTACCCAATATATTTTCGTTAGCATTTCAGTTTATCATGATTATTGCCTACTACCAATACGTTACTTAAAAGTATAATATTTTTTCATTTATTAAAAGCACTCAAATGCTAAGCTTCTTCATATTTACCATGTTATTTCTAGTATATTAGGAGGTGTTTTTTGTCCACCATCATGTAGGTACTGCATTTAATAAATCTTTGCATTTCGTACACTCCTGAAAATGTCTTAATATAGCGAAATCTCTTAAATTGTGAAACTGATGCAGTTTTTCTAATTAAGTAATTCAAATTTTTTTTTTTAAAATCTGAAGGCGTGATTTAATTCAACAGTGCAGTATGCACCGGAATTTCTTTCATGAAGTTTATTAAACATACGTTATCGCTGATGTCAATTTTTTATGAAATTCTGAAATACAGGGTGATTTGTCTGTAAAAACAGTTTAAATTTCAGAATCTTAAGATTATATTTTTATGCTCTGACCTTATAAGGTTGTATTGTTTAATTTTAAAACTCACGTTTGGAACCGTCATCAATGTCTTTACTTTAAATGCGATGGTAATCAGCTTTGGTCATCATAAATAGGCTACTGTAAATTGAATTTATCAATAAATTAATAAAAAAATGATTATTTAAAGAAATTAGATTGTTTTTGCTGTATAAGTTCATGGATAGTAATTTATTAAAATTACCAGACTTGAATCGCAGATTCGCTTTTATTAGATTAGGTAATCTGGAAGGGCATTCTACATTTCTATCTCATAAAAGCAGTGGTTCAATCAGTAATTTATTAAAACTGTCTATGGCGGGCTAATGAGTTCTAATAAGATTAAAATCGTCATCCACGTCTAGTAGTTTTGGTAAGTTTCTGACTGGGAACTTAAATGTAAAACACATTAAATTTTTATTTTCATTCATTCATTAATATTTTACTTATATATATGTACGTGAGAGTAGATGAATGGAATAATTCTATAAGTAAAACTATTATGTATATGTTAACCTAACTTTGGTTTTTTATTTGGTTTTGGTAATACGAGAAGATGATTAAATAGTAGTGCTTAAATCACTAACAGCCTGTTCCTGCCGTTAAATTTAAATTTATTATGCACACAAACACAGTAAATTTAAAAAGTACTAGTCGTATTGATTTAATATCAATTTAGTCAATTTTTTTTAGTGAAATAATCAATTTTTTATATCGATCTGAAACATTGAATTGATTGAGTGACGCTCTCGCGCCGCTAATCAATCAAGCCATGTAGTTGTTACTCCTATGTCTATACTTCTTGTTCATATTATAAAAAAATCTAATTACGATTAGATTAATCTATAATCGATTCTGTTTTATTGAAGATCGATTTTTTCAAAATAATTTGGCATTCCTAATTAGTACATAGATATTAACTGATATTAATCATCAAAAATTCTTGAAGAACATTAAATAAACGTTTGTTTTATATATGAGCTGAAGTTAGAAAAAGCAATATATTTGCTCCAAAGTTCTTAAAAAAAATTACTAGATATGTACAAAAACGATAACAATAATAAAAAAAAATAAGTACCATTAGCGAGATTGCTTTTAATTAATAAATAAAATTTCATAAAATGCCTTGTGTTTGGGTTTTGTTCATCCGTTAATTTTATAACGGAAGCAAAAATTAAAGTACTTACCTGTAAGTGACAATTAGTAAAGAAAATCGTAATAGTGGAGAGTTATTTTGGGAATAAGTTATTTTCGTCCTTCCTATGCATACCCATTTACTTACTTTCATTCATTCGATTCCGTATCCGATGAGAATTGGGCATATAACAGAAACTGATATTAAAGAACTTTTAATGCTTTTTATTTCATTCATACGTATACGATTATGATATAATATTGTTTTCTCACTTACCTATTATGTGTGATGTAAACAGATAACTCAATATGTAAGTAAATTTAAATAAGCATGCATGTTCTGAGTGAGCATAATATACGTATAATATGTGTATTTATATTATATATATTCGATTTATAATCATTTGAAATTCGCAGTTTATATAAATTATACTGAAATAATTTTCCGTGATTTAACAATTTGCGGTTATCGTTGCTATAAAAATGTGATGTGATTTATTTTGAAAAAATCTCTACAGTACCTTCGTTTAAACCAAGAACCTTTAATTAGGCTTTCAAGAAAACGTTACTTTTCTAAAAAAATATATATTCGTCCTGAGATGTATAATCGTAGATACTTTTTGTATGAAGGTGGAACATTTGGAGCACCAAATGCGCGAAATGTCGAAATTGGTGGAAGACAATGAATCACGTACAAAAGAAATAGAATTAGAAAAAGAAGAAGCAATTGATAAGATTTGTGTTTTGCGTGACATTATTCGCGATCTTGAGGTTCAAATTGAAGCAAAAACAGCAACAGAGAAAGAGTTGAAACAATTGGTCGATCAATTACAGCAGATTATCGAACAACAGAATAAATCAAATGAAGATTTACATCAACAATTGAACTCTATGCAAAATGTTGAGCACATTCAAGAACATGTCGAAAAGCTTGAAAATGAAATGCAAAATTTGAGACTTAATGCGGAGCTCATTGGGAAGGAGGGTTTGTTGCACCAAATAAAAACAGAGGTACGTACCCATTACATTACTGATATTTTAAACAATGCTGATAGCTGAATTTGCATTAATATTTTTGGTAGTCTATTATTTTTAAAGGAGAAAATTTGAAGTTGGGTTGATTTTTAGTTAACCGATCTTGAGGTGAATTTAGAGAAGCGCACCTGCGATTTAGAAGCATTGCACGCAGCAGTTTCAGGTACTAATTGTAGTTCACCGTCAGAAGATATGTCCGTAAGGGACCAGGTATGTTTACGCTGTTAAGAATTTGGTAAAGTTATAAACAATTTAAATAAAAACTATCCTTTAGATTCGACCCCGTGCACCATCATTAACGCTTGAAGAATGTCACATTCCTTTACAGCAGTTAGCAAGACTAAAGGAAAAACTTCTGGTTCATTCTAGAGCTGAAGATGCAGCAATGAAAAAGATAAGAGATTTGGAAATGCAATTAGATCATATTAAACACGAATTGGAGGTACTTACGCTATTATAATTGGCTTTTAAGTAAATAAAATTATAAATGTTGTAGGAATCCCAAAATGAAAAAGATATTCTTCAGGATCAAGTTTCTCAACAGCTTATTCTCATATCGAATTTACAAATGCGCCTAGACGAGCAACGCTTGAGAACTGAACAAGTCCAAAAGCAGAATAATACATCATTGGAAGTACACATATATGATCTTGAGAATGAGATACAAACATTAAAAGAAATTATTCAAAATCGGGATAAAACCATAAAGCATCTTACTACCAGTATTGAACAGACGAAACAAAGATTGGAAGACAGAGAAAAAGAACTCTTAGCAAAAACGGAAGACATAGCATACGTGGAACAACAGAAACAAATAGAAAAATTACAAGAAGAAAATGAGCACCTAAAAGTAAAACTAAATTGTGATAATAAAAATGCTCAAATACTCCCAAGTCTTGTTGATAATATAATAGCAGATAAAAATAAGGATATCGACATGTTAAGATCAAAATTGAATGATACGCAGAGAGAATTAGAATCTTTTTTATCTCTTAATCTCGATAAAGAGCAGCTGAAATCGCTGAGTAGTATAAAGTCTTCTGAACAGGCAGTTAGTGATCTACTTTCCCTTACTAATAATAAAGAACTGGAACAAGTACGTAAAGCTGAACAATTAATTGCAAATATTACTACTGAAAATTTACCTAAGCCTATATTTAAGCGCAATAACAATGAAACAGTAATTTACATGAGCCATGAAGAGTCTAAACCTAAAATTTCAGAATTCGATGTGAATATTTCAGAAATCGAACACATTGGTCGTGTCAATGTTGATTATACAAATGAAGATATGTCTTTAATTATGCAGTCCCATTCTACTCAACTCTCGCATATACCTGAAAAGAAGCGTGTTCATTTTAGTAATACTGAGGATTATCCAGAAGTAGATCAATTAAAAAAAGAAATTTCTGTACGGGACGAAATAATAAAGGACTTCACAGAACGTCTTAAAATATTGAGTAATCTGGAAATCAATCTAGAAGATTTGCAAGTAAAACTTGAAGTAACTGAAAATTTGTTGAAACAAACAACAAGTAATTTTGAACTTGAGACTGAACGATTTTCGGAAATAGAAAAAGATCTTCGTTCTAAATTACATCAGAACGATAAGGAGTTAATGGAAAAGAACAAAGAACTCATCTTAATATCAGAGGACTCTAAAAGAAAAGATGAAATGTATTTGAGTTTAGCCGAAGAAAAACGCAATCTAGAAAAAAAACTAGATGAAATTCAAAACCAAATTAAACATTGCACAACCTTGAACGAAATGATAGAGAAACAGAAAAAGCATATAGCTAGTTTAGAGGCCAAACTAGCCCAGATGCAAGATTTAGTGGTTAACTTGGAAGATGAAGTAGTAAATACTCAAAAAGCAAAAGACAAATTGAACGAAGAACTTACAGCTAAAGCTCATGAAGTTGAAAACAAAACTGAAGAATTAAAAACAACTAAAGCAGAGCTTATTTGCACAAAAGAGCTAAATGAAAAACAAGGTAAAGAAGTAACTAATAAAGAAAAGGAAATATACTCTCTCATGGAAGATTTAAAAGAATTCAAATACAAAGTTGAAGCCAAAGAAAATCAAATACTAGAAATCCAAAAAAAATATCTTGAACAGCAAAAATCGTTAAATATAGCAGAAGAAAAATTAAAAGAACTACAATCGTTATTAAATAACCGTGAAACTGAGATAGGCAGCTTAAATAAAGAAATTAACCGTTTTCACGAACAAAACGAAATTCTTGGAAATAAAGAAGTATTCCCTGATCATATAAAAGACTTTCAAACCTTGAAATTAAGCAGGGAGATTGCTGAAAAGGATCTAAAAATTGTTAAGTATAGTTCCGAAATTGACGACTTAAAATATGAAATTAATAACTTACAACACTTATTACAAGACAAAGAAAAGGTAATTACTCAAATAAGCGAAGACAGTAAAAGTTTGCATGTGAATTTAGAAACAATCCAAAATAAAATGCGAGAAGGTGGTAACGTGTTTGATTTAAAAAAGCGACTACATGAAGAACAACAGTTAAATGCAGTTTTGACGGAACAATTAAATTTGTTAAAAATCCAAAGTAAAAATTCTGAAAGAGAGGATATGGTTGTTTCTATAGAAGAGATAACTGGTCAAGTTCAAAAGCAGCTTAACTATTCTGCCTTACTCGATTCAAATATAATAAGTGCTTTAAGCAACGATGACAGACAGTCTCATTTAAATGATGCAGACTACTTCAAAGATTCGCTGATTCTTCAAAAGGAAATTAATAAAAGACTACAACTTGAAAAAGAACAACTACAAGAGAAATTATCTGCATTAGAAGAAAATTATCAACTTAAAAAAGATTATGTTGATAAATTGGAGTTTCTTTTTGAAAAAGAAAAACGAGAATTTAATTGCATGCAGCTGGAAAATGCTGGAATTCTAGAACAGATGCGTTTACAATTGGAAACTGCATTAAAAAATGAAATGGAATTTGAAGAGTTGCTTCAAAAAGAGAGAATAAGCCATAAAGAAACTGAAAATCAATTAGCTATATTGAAAGTCAGATTGACAAATTCTAACATAAGTGATAATTCAAAAACAGAGTATAAATCGTTACCTTCTGCTCAATTTCCTGAATTAATTATGCTTCGGAATTCATTGGAATCTTTAGAAAAAGAAAACCAAATGCTAAAAGTTGATTTAAAAGCAGCCAAAAAAGAACGTAGTGAAACTATTACAAATTTAAAATATTTAAAGGAAATGTTACAATTTAAAAATAACGAAATAGAAAAACTTGAACAAAAAATATTTGAGATAAAAAGAAATCACGATCAACTTGAAAAAGAATATATTCAAACTAAGGCAAATCTCAATCAAAGAAGCACCGAAATTGAAAATAGTAGGATTCTAATAGTAATGCTATAATTATTTAAAAGCTAGAAAATTTGTTAATATTTTGTTATTTTAGAACGAATTAGAAGGTGATGGGCGTGTGATGAAGAAACAAATAGAAGATTTGCATGAGAAGTTACGAGTAGCCGAAGAATTAAAAATCGTACCAGACAAATTCCTGAAAAAAATAGATGTAATTATTACTAAAATGTGCTTAACTTAATAAGAACGTTTATTAAGTTGGATATTATTTAGTTTAAGGTTTAAATTTTATATTCTAGAAACTGAAACATGAAGTTAGACAACAAGTCAAAGACAACAAGTTAATGACTGAAACTTTGTCCAAGCTGGCCAATGAAAGACAACAATTACAACTGAAAGTCAATGAACTGGAAGCTTGTTCTAATATGCCTTTCACTGATCTTGCGGCACGAGTAATTTTACATTGTACATGTTCTCATTCGATCATTTCTACTAGTTTTTATTTAGGCTAATCATCTCTTTGCACGATACTTGAAATCTGAGAGCAACAAGAAAGCTCTTGTTTGGCAAAAACGGTACCTGATTTCTCTGCTTGCTACATATCAAGATTTCCGCCTTACAACTACGTTGCCTTCATCTACCTTTGAAATGAAAATTAACAAATCTAAGCATACAAACACAAAACGTTTCAAGTAAGTGGATTTTTTATCTGTCGCTTATAGTATATTTTACCAATAATACAAAATAGTAATGCTTTTCAATACCGACATTCATTTTTCTTTTGGTTAAATTTAAGACAATGTGCTGTTTAAATTATGCTAAGTATCTTCCGTAGAAAATGTTAAATCGACTAAATATTTTTTTCAGGAAATTTTATATTAAATGAGATTCTAGAATAGAAAACATTGATAGACAAAATAATAAAAAATTGAATTGTGTGTAAACAAACTAAATATGTATAAACAAACTCATCTTTTACTATTTCAAACGTAAAGACATTTTAGATACCATTTTTCCAACCTATGCAGTATACTTTACCTAAAGTTTAAGTGGTTTTTAATATAAAATTAATGTAACATATTTATATTGTTTTTCAGAATATTAGCCATCTCAGTTATAGTAGTTATTCGTATGCAGTATTTGGTCCGTCGCTGGCAGTCGGGGAAACGTTTTGGCGCCCATTTACCTTCATCCCGTAAATATGATATCCCATTTAATAAACTGCCTACGCATTTTCAAACTGACCAGTTTGAATCGCATGATCAAGTTAATCATTCTGCTTTTATATTTCAACAGTCAAATAGTAACCCGGAGGCACAAAGTATTCATATCGAAAATCCGGTAGATTGTCCAAATACCAATACTTGGTTAGCAGTTTCACCTAGTATTAGAAAGAAGAATTTGGACGCAGATCAGTGAGTACTGTAACATCTTTTTGTTGAAGGATATTATGTAAAGTAAAACTTAAAGCTAAAATAGGCAACATCATTGTAATAAGTATTTATACATAGGGTGTCCCGTTCTAGTGCAGTTTGTCATTCCATTACTACTACAAATACTACAAGTAGTTAATTGTGGCCTACATAAGTATTGCTTCATATCACTTTTTATCGTGAAATATCAGTACAGTATTATACTAAAACACAGTTAAAATATCGTACATTAAAATAAAAATTAGAACTAGCTAGTTAATGTTAATAGTACTGAAATCCAATTCCCCAGTAGCCTGTAATAGTTATTCATTCTTTTAACGTTAATAGTAATAATAAATAGGTTAGAGTGCCACTCACTGTTAGTATGGCAGAACTGTTTGAAATGATCCTAATATACGGCGAATGTACAACAACGGAGTTGTACATTCATCGACATCCTCAGCAAAAACTTAAGGTGCAGAAATTACGAGAAACAGGTAATATATACCCCATATTTGAGGATCGTGCACATCAGCGTTCGAACCATATCGCCATTATAGAAGACGAAATTATTGAGTTCATAGAAGATAACCTCAAAGTAGTATACGCAAAATAACAGGGAACGTTAGCTCCTCTCATGTGACAGTGTGGTGAATTTTAAAAGAGTTGTTGCTGCATCCTTATTATTTGCAGCGAGTGCAGGCCTTACTTGAAACTGATTTTCTGCCGCAAGTGGATTTGTGTCAGACAGAAAAGTGCCGCAGAGCCTATTTTTTTCTATGCGGTGTTGTACTGACGAATGTTGCTTTAGCTTTACGCTAGATGGAAGTTTGAATTTTCACAATAATCGCTTCTGCTATGATGCAATTTCACGTATCATACACCTTTGCTCTTTCAACAAAAGTTTGAGATTTGTTTTTCGGACCCTTCGTTCTACCTCTGCATTTAAATGGCACGACTTATTTGACTTTTTTACAAGTAATTTTGCCGAATGTACTTGATGATGTACCGTTGCAACTCCGTGGACGTTTGTTTTTTCTGCATAATAGTGCATCCATTCACATTGCAAGACAAGCGTATGAATTTCTTAACGAGCAGTTCTCCGAACGGTGGTCTGGACATGCGGACCCTGTACTGTCTGGCGCGTACTCTGGATCTAAATCCGTTGGATTTCTTTGTATGGGGTTGTATGAAACTGGGTATATACCATACCTAAATGTATGACCTCATGATGATCGCTAAAAGCTAAATACCTCAAATGCCGTGTGTTTTTGTTAGATTCAAAAATAATTTCGGTAGACATCTCGAAGCCTGTCTTTTAGTGCGGAATTTTAATTTCTAACAATTTTTATAGTGTAAGTATGTGTATATATTTATTTACCAAAAACCGTTCGTAAAATCACAAATGATATAGATACGCCATGCAGATTTGCGTCACACCAATAGTGATTTTTGCGAAAATTGAAAATTCTCTTCCTCGTGAAGCAACATTTTTGTGTAAACAACAACCTATGAAAAAAATAGGCTCTACAGTTTTTTTTTATTAATACCACTGACACAAACTAACTTGCAGCTGAACGTCAGTTTCAACCAAAGCTTGCTCTCGCTGTAAATAATAATTATACACCAACTGTTCCCTTAAAATTTGTCATTCAGTCACATGAGAGGAGCCAACGTTTCCTGCTATTTTGCGAGTATTATTTTACAGGTTATTTTCTATTAAATCAATGATTTCGCCGTCTACAGCAGTGAAATTAACATTTGCTTTTTATCTTTTGATTAATTATTAATAAAAATTAAAAAAAACACTATTTAATGATTAACAAAATTTATGTACCAACAACAAATTAAAGAATAAAACAAATAGATGAAAAAAATTCAATAGCCAAGACACACAAAGAAATAACAATAACAATAATAAAAATAACAATATAGAACACAAAAAGAGAACCTTCTAAATGTAGAAACAACTGTCGAACATAGAGAATACAAATGAATTGAATCAATAGGGATTTTAAGAGTATTTATAGTAGGAAAGTGTTAGTAAAAAGAGATAGAATATTCAAGATAGACAAAGTGTGGCAATAAGGGTTGAAGACACGAATTTACAGAAATACGTAGAATTGAAGAGAACAGTATACAATTTGAGGTAAGGTATTCAAGGGAAAAATCTACATTGATGAAATATTAAATATTATATAAAAGAAAAAAAATTAGAAAAAATATGTATACAAAATATTTACGCAAAAAACCAATAGCCTTCGTTCGCCACAGTTAATAATTTGAACCATTTCACATTAAAATCAAAATGACAAATTTCACGGTGATATCACAGTATCATTATCGCTTATTGGTATATCGATTTTTGCTCAACAAATGAACAGCGTTACGGCACAGCATATAGGTGAGTAACCCTTCCACTAGGCTGTCCACGCTGTTGTAACTTTTTAAGATGTATGTAACATACCAATTCTATTTAACCGGACACACTAGTAGCAGATACTTTGTTTATTTAAACACTTGGATGTATTTATAAGAAGCTGTGTATAAACCATATGAGTCTATAAGGGAGGCGGATCTTGAAAAAAGCTAGCTTGATCCACATGCAAAGGATACCAGAGTAACGTGGTTTTTTATTATTAAAAAATATTTTTGGAAAGAGGATGGATCAATGTCTACTGCCCACATGCAATAGTCAGACTAATGATGTATTTCCTGTGATAGACGGTTTACAACAATGGCTAATTCTGAAATTTACAGTTTCAAATAGATTTAAATAAAGAAAAAATTAAAATAAAATTTCTATGAAAATTTCGCTTTAAAAATATTAAAAGACCATATTGTTCTGGAGGTTGTCCAAAAATATAGTTCTTTATTATCGTAAATTATTTCGTTGTATTGTTTGAGAATCGTACTACACATTAATTATTTAATGAAGCGTCACAAGTGACGATTTCATTTTCTGATTGTTTTTGACTGCCTGAAGTATCTTTGCCCTTTTTTTCAGTAATGGCGGGAACTGTTCCTGTCCTCCTGGTTCACCAAATTTCATATTAACCCAATACCTTGAGAGATTTGACCAAATACAAAAAAGATTAGCCATCGCCGCAGAAGACAATATCGTTTGATTTGACAAAAAGGCGATCATCTTCGTTACCTATTAATCTAGTCTATATATTTTTATACACAATTTTTTCTGGATTGGACTTATTTGTATATACATATATACCTCTAGTATAGGACTTAATTGTTTAAAAAAAATTGATTACACAAATTGACTGCTGCTCATGTGTTACAAAGAATACATAAACAAATGATTTTTGTAAGAATATGTGCCTTGTTAAATTTTATCTCATCGATAATTACTTTAGTGCCATTTAGTAGTTACGCATATAACACGAATTTGTACTCCCGGTTAGTTATTTAAATAAAAGTTTATTTCTTGATGTCAACTTTTTAAAAACTTAATAAGTGAAACAAACGTGTAAACGAAGAATTTTATTAAACACTAGTTACGATTTTAGTAACCTAAAAATGATTTTTAAAAATTGAACAATTTTTATTAAAGCGACTTAGTACAGAAAGATATGCATCACATCAATACTGCTGCAGAAGTGTTAAATTATTTGTAAAAACTGTATATCTATTTTTACTGATTATGAATAAACCACAGTACATTCCCATGTGACGGAGTGCATGCAGGTTCCTGCCTTTGTACCTTGTTATACTTGGAACCAGATTGCGGTGTCATTACTCCTATCCCCTTAAGAAAGAGCGTCCTATGAAACTGAACTTTTGTAGAACCAGCGCGTGAACTTGACCTTTCCTTCTATGATTTCTGTAGCCAGAACAAGTCCTGATTATCCGTCCGGAGAATAAACGATCGCCCAGACATTCGAGCCCATTACAGTGATAACGGCGTTCAGCATGGCTGAGTCAAGTGCTGGCGAACAAGAGTACGTGCCGTTGACCGTCCTGGTCTAACTGATACAATACGGCGACGATTCCAACATAACTGGCGACCGTCCGGAGCACGTAGGTGAGATTCGGGTTGGGCCGGGATAGCCGGAGGGGCTGAATGGCACTTCTTTCAAGTCCAGGAATGCCTAATTGGCCTTTTGGTCCCACCTCCATTTTTCCTTTATCAGAGAGGCTGTTATCTCGGCAAAGTCTAGGATGTAGCGACAAGCTTCGGATCTGATTGAGATGGTGTTCGGTCGGCCAATTCCCGTCCGCTGTGACACGATGTCCGAGGTACTCAATCTCGGGTCGGGTCAGCTGGCATTTCTCGGGACCGACGCAAAATCCATGGGTGAGAAGCCTTTCCAAAACCAATCTCAAATGCCGGACGTGTTCTTCGTGTGAGTGGAAATAGACTATGATGTCGTCCAAGTAAGCTAGTGTGAAGTTGTGTAGGTGTCACGTGAGAACTTATTGGGCCGTCAACTTTTGGAATGTTCTTCTTTAGCCCAAATGGCATCATACGGATCTGATAACTAGCGCCGTCGGTCTTAAAAAAACGCTGTGAGGGACCGGCTCGCGGGTGACAACGGAATCTGTCAGTAACCTGACTTGTCGAACGTGCTTAAATTTCATCCATTAGACTGGAGGTATAAAAAAACCAGCAGTCTGTAGAAAAAAACACCTTCATCCCGCATGCCTATCGAAACGCTCTTCAGCGACAACTTAAAACTCGCCTTACCGAATTCCGCAGCGACACTTACGATGTTTACGTCGCTCAGACCGAAACACATTCCAAAATAACTTGGTAAGTGATCCGCTCTCTTCGAAACAGCCTCACATTTCCCGTCGCTAAAACAAAACGGCTCCATATAGACTTCAGGTCTTCAGTGCCCCCCACGTCCCAGCCCTGTGGATCTTGCCGTCTTTCACTAGCGAAACAAAGACGTGCCCTCGTGAAATCTTCCTCACTATCGGATCTCTGGAAAAGAGAGAAACCGCTAACGCAAACGGAATTCCCAACGGTGTCCTAAAGGTCCTGACATCGAAACACATAACAGCACATCCCCTGGTCTGAAAAAAAGCCACTGTCATATGTCTTCCCAAAAATAGGACCCCAGCTCTCCCTCAGGCTACGGGCCCATTAGCCTGCTCAGTTCACTGAGCAAAGTAGTTGAATCCATCCGCCTTTATCAAAAATCCGTGCTTTCAACGCAATTATCAGATGTATTTGCTCCTACGTTATTCCCATTTAGGCCTGCTCCGATTCCGATCGTTTACAAATTTTTAAAGGCACCTACATGCGGATTCGTACCGCACTCAAGTACACCTGGTTCATCAGAAACACCTAAATTCTGAAAAAATCTGGTCAACCTTCATTCCCCAAGGCTGCAATCAGATTTGCGGCAAATCTACGGACCTCAGTTTCAGGTCATCCAAACCCGTCTATCTCGTCACTTTCTGAATTCGCCCCTAAAACAAACAACTGTTTTAGAAGACCCTGCTACCTTCTACTTTGAGTTGCTTCCCTGCCGCTCATTCCTAGTTTCGCTTTTTTAGCGCGGGGTCCATCCAACTCATCAGAGGTGGGCCACTGATTCCCATAGCATTCCACTTTCTGACCAAATGCTTCGTTTCTTACACTCAATCCCCTTCGCGCTCCCAACCTCTTCCCATTGAACCTTTGCTGGGATGTATAACCTCCAGGTTGATCTCCCTACTCGAGGACGGGTTTTATTCGATAGACGCTTCGACGAATCCGACACTATCCCTCCTCAGGGGGTGTTTGAAGATTTCCTTTCCTCGAAGAAAAATTAAACAAAAAAAAGGCAGAACTAGAACCAATCCTACCATTATCTCTTGTAGCTACCAACCTTAGCTTTCGCAATTACTAACCCTACATTTAGCTAATAAGCTACCACGTTATTATGACCTGTGCTACAAGCAGGCCGCTCCGCCAAAGTATATCGTCAGCGTCGCCAACGGGGCTAGGAAAGGAGACGACACCCAGGACGTTTGGAAAGGCGTTTCATCAGGCTTTAGATGATTTCTTAGCGGGTCTAGAGTGCACTATACACCAAGCTTGTGCTCAGCCCCCTCCTGTCCGCCGCCGGGAGGCCGACGTCCCGACGCCCGCCTACGGTGTCGACTCCCGAGGCGTTCCGAGCGCCGCCGGACTAATCACTAGTGCCGTTACCATCGCTTGTGCCTCCTCTGCTCTCTCCACTGCCTTTTCGTCAAAGACCCCAAGAGTGCGCCGTTCAATTTTTAATAGTCCGTAGATATACGAACTATTATCAATGTTAGTGACCGCGAGTGCCGCCACAAAACCGCGCAAGAAATATCTACTCCTTAGTTAATTGTAATAGATGAATGTATGAATGTATGAATGTGTGACCGATAGTATAGCATGAAAGTAGTGTAAATTATTTTTATTGTATAAATGTGTAGTAATGTACAAATATTCGTTATTTTTTTTTACTGATAAATAATTACGCCATCAGAACTATTTATGCCAAAAGCAAAAAGGCGCCATGTAGACCATCCGTGGAATAAAATTTATGTCCTTGTTCGATTGCAGTTCTGCAGATACAGGGTGGAAATGGGGCTAGGTCCACGTCACGTAAACAAGGACCGCCCTGGGCAACGGTGACAACTGTATTTATTCCATATACCTAATACTCCTATATTGCTAGTCCCCGTAAGTGGCGGCGATGTCGAGCAAGGAAGACAGCAACTACATACTTATCACTCGTTTATACTTGATGCGTTATGTGCAAGCGTTACGACTGTAGTGGGAGAAGCCCTCATCTCTCAAAGCTTATAAGTAATGTAGTTAGAGTAGAGAAGTTTTCGGATGTGTGGTAGCTTCTCGGACATGCGCACAACGTTGAAAGTCCGCAGCGTTGTGTCAGCATCTTTTCTAGACCCCTACTAGCAATATACCCCCCCTCCCTTCCCCTCTCTTTGTCTCTTGCTGTCTCGGAGACACTATCCATGCTGAGCATGCTTGAAAAATCTTAAATATCAAATGATGCTACCAATTTCACTTTGTCGGAACAGTTTCCACTTATAAAAACTGGTCATGTAAGAGTATCATATATATAATTGCATCCAGCTAACACCCTCCAAAGCTTCCTACTTATTTCACAAACACCCTGTGTCTTATCTATGGTTGTCTATGGATTGTCTGGTATGGTTTCTTATTTATAAGTAGTGAGTAATCTTGTTTATAACATGTTTAAATGATGTTTATAACCGATTATAACCTTACAACTCAATTCGTATAGATTTATGTGCAGTTTTTAAAATTAGACACACCGATTTCATTTAAAATTAAAAAGCGAATTTAAGTAATTCATATTTCAAATGATTAAGTAAAAGTATTTTATAAATTGCGAAATGCAGTGCACACCGGAAGAAATAGAAGAGAAAAGAAAACTAGCTCTTTTAAAATTGTCTAATCGTAAGAAAGAAATATCAAGTGAAACAAACCGACCGAATTGCAGTTCTATGCAACGCAGTTTTACAGAAGTACCTAGATTAGCATCTGTGAACAACAATTACCAAAACGTTTGTAATGATGGTGATATAAAGTCATCATGGAAAAGAAGTAATTCTGTTAGAGTTGTTGCTTCATCGCCTTATAAAAAATCTCAACAGTTCTATTCCGCTGCAAACAAAACTCCAATTACTGTTAGTTTTCATTTGATAAGTGATCAAAGATTTGCTGTGAAAATGTCTTCATTTCATGGACCATCTTTAGAATTATTTAAAACTATTCCATCCAGATCATACGGTATATTATTATTTTACAACATTCTATCTGACTATTAATGATTCTTTTAGATGCCAAAACTAAAATATGGTATTTCGGTATTAATCATTACAATATGTTACATACAAAATTACTGCTATTACAACCTGATGTGATAACTATAGGTTTACCCCAGTTTGTTGTTAACTCTTTTCATATGGCTAAACTTGACAATTCAAAAATTGATCTAAGCAAAATTGATTCTAAATTACAAAATGCTTTGATGCCATTTCAGAAAGAAGGTGTTTAGTAAGTATAAAACAGTGATTTTTATTTCTCATATTAATTTAATGACATAGTTTTGGAATAGATAAAAATGGAAGATGTCTTATCGCTGATGATATGGGTCTTGGTAAAACATTTCAGGCCTTAGCAATAGCTGACTATTATAGAGATGACTGGCCTATTTTAATAGTAACAACTTCATCCACAAAGTATAATTATAATACACATAAAGATTGATTTTAGACAATGGTACTAATTACATTTATCATTTTCAGAAATATCTGGGAAGAAACAATTCATAAATTTTTACCTTCTGTTTCTATTATGGATACACAATATATGGTTTCAACAAAAGATTATATAGGTGACACAAGAATCTTGATCACTAGTCATGACATGATGACTCGAGCTTTATCAAAACTGGTTGAAAAACGATTTGGTATCATTATTATTGATGAATCCCATGTATTAAAAAATTTTAAAGCAAAATGTACAAAGGCTGCAATAGAATTGTGCAAAATTGCTCGCAGGGTAATATTATTAAGTGGAACACCAGCCCTTTCTAGGCCTAGTGAGCTGTACTCTCAGCTTTCTCTGATCGATCACAAATTTTTTGGTAGTTTCTATGAATACAGTAAAAGATATTGCGATGCAAAAGCAACTAAATTTGGTTGGGATGCAACTGGAAAGTCAAATCTTCAAGAACTAGAATTAATATTAAGTAAACATTTCATGATACGACGCACTAAGGATGAGGTTCTTAAAAGTCTTCCTGAGAAAAAGCGACAAGTAGTTACTTTGGACGTGGATTTAAAGCAGTTAAAGGAAGATGAGCAAATCCACTTTAATACCTTAGCTTCCAAATGTAATAAACTAAAAATGGGCCCAGATAAACAAGGTGCACTGTTATTGTTTTTTGCTGAGACATCTAAAATTAAAATACCATCAGTAAGGTAAGTTTGCAAAATGCATAATCATTTTTTTTATATCCTTTTATTAAATGCTAGTTTTGAATTGTATCATTGATAACATTGTAAGTAGCCCATTTATCCATTAATGTAACAGTAGGTTATCTGTTAAAATGAGTGTAACATATCCTATCTCTCAAACTAAATTAGTATATGCCCAATAGCTTTTTTGCCATTTAAAAATTCCATTCTTATTCTGAAAGCCTGTAGATTTTGAGAGATCGGGTGCTTTGCTGGTTTGATTTCATGCTAGCAAATCTCGTATTCGCTTCAGCCGATCGCGGGCCCTAATAAGCATCGTATTTTTATTTGGATTATGACAATATTGTTTCGGCTGTTATGCCATTATCAAAGTGAAATGTTTAATATGAATATAGTGGTATTTATAGAGGAGGGTTGAAAAGTAGCACAAATATATATANTATATATACAGATACAAATATGAATATAATACATTGAAAGCGCATAAATTACTGGTTAGTCAAGACAGTTACTTAAGATAAAGTTAAGTTCCTCTCACTCCAATGACCTTATAATGTATAACTACTAGATGCGCCTTTGTTCACTGCTGTGATGGAAGCGATTAACGCCAATGTAAGATCGAAAGCAATGCATTGCATGATTACTTTGTAAGACAGAGCTAGAAGTATTTCGGTCACGTGAGATATGGCATAAATTGAAATTTATTCATGTTTCTCAATTACGGTTTACATTAATTAAGATGCAAACGTAATTACCAAAATGAATATACTATATTAAAAACGATTGAAATATAAACACCTACAAAATATCAAATTATTGACGATATTTTTTGTAATTGAATACCGAATTTCATACCTTTGTCATAGCATACCTTTGTGTTAAACTTGAAAACTTTTAAATTCCAAGTATGTAAAAATTAAAGTAGAAATATACAGACGGCTGAATTATTATCAACATTTCTTTTTTGTAAACTGAATGAGAGAAAAACAGGAAAAGCAGTTAGTTACTAACAAAATTTATTGATAAAGTTTATTATTATGCATTATATTTCATATGAAAATACATGCTGATAATGAAATTAATACTTAGAACATTTTTCAGTATTTTTTATTTCAAAATAAAGTTACAGAGACTTATTTCTGGATTAAATACAAAAAGTACTTTATTGGTGTTTAAATAGTACCAATTTATTATATTTTTGCCTAATTCTAGTCATCACTTCATTGAAAGACTTATTTTTGTGGTGTATCCTAATATTTAAATAATATTGCAATATTAGATCAACTAGCTGCAAGACATGGTTGTTTAAAGGGTCTTGATCCACAATGTGTTTATTTAGTTGAGGAAAAATTCCGCCAATGTTGATTTCATGTTTTGCAGAAACTAACATTCTACGTAAAACATTGCCAGTGAAGTTAGTAGTTTTTTTGAAAACATTTTCAGCTATTCGGCACATGTATGTAATATATCGAGAAGGTTTACGTAGACCTCTTCTATTTTTCATATTTAAGAAATATAATACGTCTTCGGTAAGTTGAGATAAACATACTTCGCAGTGAATGTTCTTTTGTAATTTTCGTACAACATTTCCAGAAATGTGCTCAATTACATCATTTCTGTACTGCAAATTAATGTCACTTAGCATTAGCTCTTCTCATCATTAAAATTGACGTTGTCTACATCGGAAATTGCATCAAAGGAATCGTCTGGTGGTGGTTGCTTATAAGTTGATGCTACGTGTAAAATGTTCGTAGTGTTGTATTTGTAGGGTTTTGAAGGTGTCCGGCTATAAAGATTCGCTATTGTACTAAATATATTGCGGTTTATTCCGTGCTTGTTACAATCCGACCACCTTGTCTCCCTCTTTTTGTGCTACTGACCTGACCGAGTTAAACTCCCTACTTAACAGGTTGGCAACGTAACCAGCTAAAAGTCACCAATATAACACGTAGTATCTTGCGGTAACCAATTGGCATTAGAAGAGCTGCTTATTTGTACATGAGACAGTAGTCGCTTATAAGCAGACTGAAACTGACTTGCAGTGGGGTTATTATTGAAGCCACTTTTTGGTCTAATTGCGCAGAAAAAGAACTCTAAATGATCTTGGACAAATAGGACAAATATTTTCGTTGTACAACATATTTTTCAACAATTCCAAGTATGGAGTGCATATTTAAAATAAATCCCACGAAATCTGTTTTTCTTCTGCTGTAGATTAACGGTTCACCATTAATAAGTTTTAAATTAGTAGTATAATTAATTGCACTGATGCAAAAAAAAGTTCAAATTATAATGGGATAAACTTTTCTTAAATGGATTTGTACTGAGGGTATTTCTAGTATTACATAGATCAAAAATCTTATCTATCATTTTACAGAAATTAATAGTTCCAATTGCATTTTTAAAGTTATGTAGCTGTAAATCTTTCATACAATACTCAAGAGCATCAGCTATACTTGAGCTGAAAGTTTGTGCAGCTAGCCTCACTTTCATTTTTTCATTTTCATAATGAATATGTTGATTTGTTAATTAATGCAAACCTTGGTGGTTTTGTAGATCTACTAGATGTTTAAAAGAATTCCAGTCAATGAGATTATTTTCTTGGTCACAGAAGTTTGTCCACTCGCCAAGAGTGTTTCTAATTAATTTTAACATGTGGCAAGGATCTAGTATTAAAAATACCTCTTCTTGCATAGCTGGATGTAGAAAATAAGGTTTCATTGTATTGTGGTTTAAATTAGCTCCTAAAATAGAAGCCATTCCATATTAGAAGCTGCTCTATTGAAAGTTAAGGATATAACTTTAACTCCAGTTTCATTTAGGAGTAATAAACAATTTTTTACTATGCTAGAGATGATGCATTGATGATGATGATGCTATGATGCATTGGTCGTGCATTGGAGTACGAAAGTGTTAAACGGGCCTATAGCAAATAGTGAAAGGTGCGGCTACTGTGTGGAGAAACGGATTCGTCAGAATCTTTAGAAGAAACCGTCTGCCGAATCATCTGTAAGTTCGATAAAGAAACTCGAAAGCTAAGATGTGGGAATTGCGGCGAACTAGGTGGAGGAGGCAATGTAGGAAAAGTACTCCTTCCCCAAGTACTCGACGTCAGCAGCAGGAAAACTAGATAGGCTCGACGTAACGGGGCGAACGTTGACCTACGGACAAAAAGACCCCGAATTTATCGCATTTACGAAGACCTTGAAGCACCAGAATGACAGTCTACTCCTAGGTGGAAAAATAAATAGGCGAAGATGCGTGTTTCTTTTGGACACTGGGGCTACTTGGAGCATAGTAAAACCCAGCGTAGGCGAGGGTTCTAACCAGGTCATGTCAACTAAGTGGGTTCTGCGTACGGCTACCGGAGAAAAAGCGGTTGTTCATGGCGAAGCTAACGCGTCATTTGAAATTGGTAAGACTGTCTTTGACCATCGAGTGTTTGTGGCAGATATTGAAGATAACGTAATTCTTAGGCTAGAAGTTTTACAAAAACAGGATTTTGACATGAATTTAAGAAGACGCGTTCTGAGACTGAATGGTGAAGAATTCTATTTCATCAAAGATAGACAGGAGGCTGTAACCCGAAAGGTAAATTCTGAAACAGTACCTGTTGAAATAAGTGGAGTGATCGACAGATATTGTAGGAACCAATATCGTTAAACCGAAGATCAACACCGGTAANTTTCGGTCTTTGACCAATTGTTCGATAGGATAGTCGTCTTTCTTGTTTCGCACTTTAATTTGAATGCATTCCTATTGAGGGTACCGCTTTTGTAGTTTAAAATTATAATTACTTTATTTTTATTAATATAGACTGTCGGCTTTATAATTGCAAAGTCAGAATGAACAGCATCTAGGTTTACTTCAAATGGTAATTTATGTTCTGTTAATTCAGATTGTACAGATTTTAGTTTCTTTACTAATATACGTGGTTCAATTACACTGGGGTGTAACATTCCCATTTTGGCGTAAGTACCAAGATTTAAAATGTCACTTATTTCTCGATTAAGGATTGCAACTATCTCTGAATTTAATTGAGTCGTGTCGAGTATGCTTACGGAGTAGCTATGTTTTGTATTAACATCGTCTAGATTGGATGCCCATTTTTCTAGGTTTTCAAAATTTTTCTTTATAATCTGTTCATTTTTGTTAATTGAGATGATGGTATTGTTTAAAGTGCTTAAAGTTGACATGGTAATATGAGCTTGCTCTTTCATCAATTTCAGTGTATCTTGGTTTGATTTTTGAATCGATTCGATGGCATTGTAGTAAAACTCAGAGTCGTCTTCGTCAAGTTTCCGAAAACGGTACGGAAAGCTTTTCCAATAAGTGAAAACCACGCGTGTTTTTGTCTTTTATCAACATAAATTTGTAAAATTTTATTGAAATCATCTTCTAGTTCTCTAATGGCTTTTCCTAACGTTAACTTATGATACGAACTAATCTCATATTTATTTTTAGCTTCTTATATAGTTAACTTATTATAATACGGTTTAACCAATTGAACTCGATCAAAGATTTGTGTTGTCGCCGTAGTTTGACGACTTTTATGTAGCTGTAGGGACCAGTTTTAGGAATAACGCAAATGTAATTGGTGTTGTAATGCTGCACTTGATTTTGAACTATTTATTAACAACACTTAACTAATGATTAACAAACACTAATAAAACAACTTAACAAAAAAAAACTTAACTTATTTAGAGAGTGGACTGTATAACTGGAATGAATGAAAATATAACACGAACGAAAAGAGCGAATGATTGATTTTATTGAAGGCCAAATTGCAACTATCGAAGAATGACTGAACTCATGAAAATTAGAAAAATAGAAAAGTGGAGGAAATAGTTTGGGGGTGGAATGAAATTCAAATTGGAAAAGGTTGTTTGATTAGAGAAAAGGTAGAAGATCGTGATTTGTTAGGAAATGAAGACAGAGATACAGAGGAGTAGAAAGATACAGGGAGTACCAGCAGGGCAGCAACCGGTACTTGGGGTACCGAC